AGGACATTTCACTGCATATTTGTACAGAATGTACATGGGGGGAAAAAAAGCTTTTAAAATACACTAAAGCACAGACTAAATAATGTTGTTTGACCTACCTTATTTAGCTGTGAAGTTCTGATCCAGTTGTAGATTCCCTACCTTGATGTTGATCAAGGTTAAAGCATGTTGTAACAATATGTGAAAAATCTCTTCTTATTTAACTTCCCCAAAAAGTGATCATATTAACTTTAAAATATATGATCAAATGGGGGGGGAGGAGGGGGGGGGGAGGGGCACAAGAGTGTGTGTGCTTCATGGATCAACTTGTAGGAGAAATAATTTGATTGTGACCAGAGCCCATGTCCTTGTTTGGACTCATTTTGTACTAGTTCAGATTACAGTTCTGGCCTTCTTATAGGAGGCTGAGTAAGTCCTGTTCATATTCTTGATCTCTGAGAAAGTTCTGGGGAAAAGAAGGCTTAAAATAAGAAAACATTCATCTGTAGAATGCCAGAAAGCCCTCAAATTAGAGGACATGACATGTCCTTATAGCTTAGCCATCATACCATCAGCTGAAATAAAAAGAATACCAACAAAAACATAAGCAGCAACAAGTCAGATCAGCATTTAAAACCAACCTGTCAAAAAGCAGCTGTAGCTGTTTATAGCATCTGGAAAATAAACCAAGTTGCAAAGTTCTAATTTTACTCATCTCACAGAGCACTGGTACTGCAGTGATGGCTACTACTTTCAAAGGAGTGATAAGCTGAGAAAGATCTCACAGGAGTCTTTGCTAGGTGCTTGTGCTAACATCAAGATTTTTGCTGTTGCCATTGTAGCATCCCCTCTCATAATAACCACAGCTGTGCAACAGAGCATCATGGCCAGTGGCATTTGAACAGGGAGTATGTCACTTGTACAATATGTTTCTTTAGGGTGAAATAAAAAGCCTTGGAATGAAGGATATTTTGCAGATATTACTTGCATAGCAATGAAAAAATCGTAGGAAGAGAAAGTTACTTGAAGTTCTTCAATGTTTGTGGTCTTCTTCCCATCTCACAAAGGTAACTGCTACAGGGAATGCAATGCTGAACATAGAGCAGAGCAAAACCATTTTAGTGGGATTTAGGGGCTGAAAGAAAATGCAAGACAGCAAAGTTAATATTTTGGTAACTTTACGATTTGAAAGCCAAAGTGCAAAATACTGTCTTCCAAGGCCTTACAACGCCCTTGAATCTCTTCTTCCATTGAAGATAGATTTCTCTAACAACATGCTAGTCATGCTGTGAAGGGCAGAGCTATACTTAATAAATTTAAACTAATAAATAATTTACTATTTTTAATAAATTTAGAAAAAGGGAAAATAGTGGTTAGAGATACAAGCATGCAACATCAGTTCAAATGCCTAGCTCCATCCTTCGTGTGATTTGCCAAAACTTTCTGATTAACTTTACGTCCATACTCATCAATGAATTGTTTAAGCTGCACAGCTAACTAGTTAACTATGAATAATTGTCATCTAATTCTTGTATTTGTTTTGAACTGCTGGAGTAGAAATGAAAATTACAGTCTCTTGAATAGCTGGGTCACTCATATAAACACATAAACTCGTTTTTCAGTTAAACCACTTGCCAGCAAGACCTGATCTTCCACTTATCCCATTTAACTTGAGATATCCACACTGTATAATAGCTGCAGTCATCAAGGGCTGCCTAAATAGTCCCTTAGAGCATAATTCATCTAACACATTTTAGATGCATATTTCCTAATGTCAGTACAAGCCACAAAATTGGAGGACGTCAATGTCAACTTGTGTCAGAGGAGCCGTAAGTCAGAAAAGTGTTTATTTTATAATGACATATTTATTTATAGAAAGGCTGGGGTTTGGTACAGATAGTCACATCTCACAGAGATCCCATCTGATGAATACAGAACAAGCAGTGCTAGGAACTGAAAGGTTCTGCTGAGCAGGATAGTGCCTATCCAACACAGCTTCCACAGTGAGGAACACGCTGCACTGAGGTGCAACGCTGACAGAGACAGAACGAGTTCTGAACCAAGAGTTCAACCCAAAATCAGGGATAACATAAAAAAACATGCTAATCCTCTGAAGAAGAGAATGAAAAATAACTGATTTAGATATTGATGAGACAGAAAAAAATGTAATCTCCCTCTTTTCTGAAACCAGTAGCTTATTTCAGAAGCAGCCACAGGTACCCACAGGAAAGGAAAGCCAGGGAACAACGACTCTTCAGAGAGAACTGTTCATCACTGAGCCAACAGAAATGTAAGACCACTTGGGGTAAATGGACACATGCTAATATTCTTTGAGTTCTACTCAAAGGTCTTGACAGGAGAATAGGAAGATGAGCCACACTAAAGTTCCACATCTGAATGCAGAAACTGTGGAGGCGAGAGAGTGGTCTGAAGGCCTGCCTGGAGGGGCCCCAAGCCCATCTGGTTTGGCAGAGATGTCAGAGCTTGACTGAAGGAAGAGGAGGCAAAAGGCAAAGAAGGACAGTGAAGCCAGAGTATAATTGCTGGGGGAAGGAGAATTTAATGGGGAGATAACACCAGAATTTTTCAAGCAACTTAAATTCTTCTCAGTGCCTTGAAAAACCTCTTAAAAATATCTCCTTTGGGCCCTGGAAAAGCTGCTGTATAAGCAACTCAGGTTGTAAGCCTGTCAAGAGAAGAAAGATGGAGGAAGAGGATAAACACACATAAATGATGGCTTGAAACAAAGAACAATCACAAAAGCTGACAGTTGTTTGTGAAAACATTGGAAATGGATATTTATGCATCAAACAACATTTTCAGATACAGATGTTAATACCTGCAGATCTCTCTTTGTAGACACAAGTGGTCAAAGCCACAAGCCAGTAGTCTTCTGCATGAGAATAGGCCTCTCTGTATGCAGATTTTATCAACAGCAGGCAAGTGAAAAGAAACAAAAGCTAAAATATATAAAATCAAGGACTTCTTACGATCTTTTTAGGATGCGGTGCATAAATATGAACCCCCAGCTTCTGCCATCATTGTTAAGCACAATGCCCAGCAAGTAGTACATCGTGCAGTATTGAATTTGTGGAGTAGGGGAGCTCTGTGGCGCATCATCCCATTCTGGTACCAAACACAGTTCAGAGTTAGGAGCTTGCTGCAGTGCCATGAGGCTTAGTCTTCCGGCTGCACACAAAGGATGTCCTTACTGCTGGGCACAAAAATATGTAGTTTAAACCCACTGACATTTTGTTCCCTCTCTATTGAGGTCTCATTTTCTCAAAGGATAACTTTGTCTTTATGAATACCATATGCCAGTGGGTAGCTTGCTCTTGGGATTCCAGCTAATTGTTCAAAAACTGGAGGATGTATCTGCACACTACCCTAGAGTACTTTTGATATTACAGCACAGACATACACACACAGACTAAGCATACATCACAGGGGACTGCTCAGCTTGCAGGTGAGTTGTTCAGATGGTGCCCTCAGTCATACTGTTGACCTCTGCATCAAAATCTGAATAAAAAATCTTCATTACTTCAGCCATGCTTTCCACTCATTTCATGCCACTTCTTTCCTTTGTTTTCAAGGTTGTGCAATAAACAGAATCACTGAAAGAATGATGATAAAATAAACCATTTGGAAAAAAAAAAATCAGGCTCATATGGTGATATCACTTAATGTGTCCCACAGCTAGCTTCATGGAAAGATGAGAAAGGCAGTCACAGCAAAACAGTATTGGAAACCTGGTTAGGCTTGGTGGTGTGAGTGGGAGAAGGGAGAGAAGGTAGTGCTTGTGCACTGGGCAGCTATTCCCTCAGTACTAAGAACTCCATGGTACATTAGTTTATTCTTGCTAATTAACACACCAGAGAAAATCAAGAACCCAGTTCTGAGACAGAGCAGAAATCAGGGCAATCTAAGAGCACTGATAGCTAGAAACTCTTGAATTGTCCAATGGAGGGTTTCCATGAAAATGTCATGCTCCAGTACATAGATACTTTTGATAATTATATTCTATGGGACCCCTGAGACAGAAAAGTACTTCAGTACCTCTAGCAAATTATGGAGGGTTTTTCAAAGAAAACACATACCAAGTGCTTAAAGTCCATTTTGGCAGCTGTTAAATCTTCATCTTATTGAAAACTGCTACAGGATATATAAAGATTGGATATTTCTATACTGGCAGCATTTCAATATATAAAGGCACTACAGAACATGGAATCACAACAAATTAAATTTCATATGAAATGCTAACACATTTCTTAAGTAGAAATTAGTGTGGTAGCAACTGCATGTCACTTACCTAGAAGGAACTAATTAGCTCCATTTGTGGCTGCCATTTGTCCTCATATATTGTTAACAGCCTTCTTCAAACCAACACTTGACAGGAATACAAAAATTGTAATGCAGTCCACTGTAGCATACACTTAACACTCAAATAAATAAATCATGTTACTAAGCATAATAATCTTCTTCAACTACAGGCAGAGCAGTTCCAAAATACTTCTGGAATTTATTTTAACTTAAACTTTCTTACAATGTTTTAAAAATAATTTACTTGTGTAAATGAATAAAGATGACATTTGTATTATAAAATTGTCTTAAAGAAGTCAGCAATGCAATCTTTTTTATTAGTGCTGCACTGAGAGTACACCTAACCAAATTCCCATTCAAAGACAACAAATCAGTATCAATTAAAACAGTGGACCTCCTTCACTTACTCTATTTGCTTATTTAAACAAACCAAAGATCATGGAATGTAACTTGGTGTTCTGTGGAAGGGTTACAAGTGCACGCTGAAAAAGGCAAACCTTTTAAGAAGAGGGCATGTCTGAAATAAAACAGTGGTTTAGGAAACTGTTTTCTGGGGTCAAGCTTGACAAATAGTACTAAATATTTCACTTAAGTCTGAAAATTCAAAGCTTCCTTAGTTAAAGCAATATCCATCTTTGAGAGCTTATACTAATGGGTATGGTAGCTTTACAGTGTTGTTTATGAATATAATACATACATAGTGCTGGGTTTAATATTTTATTGGAATGAAGTTTAATGTTATGCAAAATAAATTGTTATGTTACATCCACTGTGACATCAACTAAAATGTGAACTAGGTTGCATAGGTTAGTACTTTGGGCAGCATGATGTTGCTCTAGTCCACCAAAGCTTAAATATTCACAGTGTAGAGGAAGAAACAGGAATTAAAGCATTTCTACTAAAATATATTTTAATAGCTGGTGTTAACTTTCTGCATAACAAAAGCCAAATTAAGATGATACATCATATGATCCAAGAGTAAGTTTATCCGTCCTTTGAAAAACAATTGTTACCTTCATAACTGTATACCCTCAAATACAGTACAGTTTTGCAAAATAACTAAAACTTTACACACTTTAAAGCAAACATAAGCCAAACTGCACAGCGGTTCATTTTTGCTTTTTATATCACATTGCAAAAACCAACAGCTGAGAGATTTTCCACATCATGCTAATCAATGTCAATACAGTCATTGCTGTCTTCCAATGGTCTAGCAATTTCTAATAGTAATATTAAATACACAATTGAAATGCTACAGTATAGCTTATTTTCCCCCCTAAAATAATAATAATTAAACAAATGTCAACAACAACTGGATTACAACTTAAGTACAATATGCAAATTCTATTTATCAGACACAAGAAGCATATGAAATTCCTTTGAATATACTGTTGTAGTGCAGGCAGTTTAGGAAATAGAGCTTTCAGGTTTTCTTTCCAAAGGAGAGATGGGGTTCCTATGGCATAAAGCTGGAGAAAATCACTAAAGCATTGCAAAATGGTTTAATCTTCTACAGCTCACTAGTACTTTGCATTTGCCAGCACATCAGTTCGGAGGACTCCTTTCAACAGCATCTTCTGTCTGTTTCATTATATTATTTAAACATTTACTAACTAAAGCATATTCTATATTTTAAATTGAGTATTAATTAACTTAATAAAAATCTATCATTTTATACCCTGTACCACCTTCTGCCAAAGACCTCTGTATTTGTAATTTCGTTTTTCATCGTACAAGATGACATGCAGTCACTGTACAAAAAAAACTAGAATTATTACCTTTCCCAGGTATTGGAGACCTTCCACATCCCCAAGAAACACTCGGCAGGGACACATTTATCAAAAACATAATCCATGGGAGGTGATTCTCCATCAAATCCCAGTCTGCTGAAGTAGTTTATTGTATGTCAAATGTAATCAAGAAAACCCTGTTTCATCAAGACTAAATGCTAATGTTACATAATGAAAAATTACAACTGCAGTACCTGTATGTAGCTTTGTTTAAAAAATGAAGATAGCCAGGCAAGAAAGAGTAATGAAAAGCAAGGCACCCATTTGTTCTTTTATGTATGCATGAATATGCTCTATGTTGTTTTCTACATTTATATTTGTGTTAGCAAGAATTACAGCATTCTTTACATAATTTTTTTTTATTTCTAAAATGGGAACATGTGGACTTCCAACCTGAACTTTGGAACAGCTTGAGAAATTCAAGTCCTTAAAAGCCCTTTCCATTCCCCAGAAAAATGTTGACTATAGGAAGAAAGAACAGTGAGGGGATCATGCTGTGCTAAAAATGAATATACAATTTAAAGGTGACAAGACAGCATGTAGCATCTTTTCACCCCTATATCACACTGCATGTAACAGTCTCCAACATATGCTTTGAAAAATGTGTGCTGGCACAATTTAGTTCATGACTTACCCTCCCTGCCTTACAAATTTTAGTTCTTATTAAAAAAAAATTATAATTGCATTCTGGTAATTTTGGGCCTTTGATTGCATTGCTTAGAACAAAGCTGCAAAATTACACTAAAGTTTGTTTTATATCAAAAAGCAGGAACCATTCCATATAAATATGAATTTCTAAGCATATATGACAAAAAACATGACTAAAAGAATAAGTAACTTAAACCAGATCTGAATAATTCTGCTGACATACCATTCTCAAGAGAAATACAATTCACATACTGTTTTGTTTTCTTGACCTTTTATTTTTTGCAAATTGATTTAGCTGCTCTGCCAGGCTAATGAATATTCAAAATTCATAAAGGAAATTTTATTTCTATTATTAAGCATAGCATAGTTCTCTAATGTCACCAAATGCTCATTTTCTGATTTACCTCTGTATATAAAGTATTCAACACTGTAAGCTGTCTCCTCATTTGGGAAGAATGTATTTATAGGTGGAGACTCTCTGTTTTATAAGTCACTAAAAATTGCAACTTGATGCCATATAGATATTCTCTATATTTCTTTTTTATTCATATTTGGTAACAAAACTAACATTTTGTTTTTATTGTTGTTAGCATTACACAGCTAATGGAGCAGCACAGCAGCAAGTGACAGCCAATTGTGCTTCAGGCATCATCTGAAAAATTTGACAGCCAGCAGAAGATGGAATTCCTCTCCTTGCTGTTGATGGCCAGGGATGAAAACGAACACAGAAGTAAACTTCTTGTTTCAGAGCTTCTAGCTCAGCATACCACATGGCTTTAAAAAAGCCATTTGACTTGCTGATTTCCTGTGAGTGTCACCAGTAATGCAAAAGGGTCTGCTGCAAGAGCAGCTCCTTATGCAAAACTTGCAAGAATTTTAAATCACAGCAGTCAACTATACAAATTGCCTATTTACAGTCATGGAATTCTACTTTTAAGACACATCTTTTGAAGCTGGATACTCCTGGACAGGGATTTGCAATTACAACTTTCAGTTGACATAACAAATCCATACAGCCTTTCCTTATTTAATTTTTAGTTATTGCAGGATTTTCTGCTATGTGAGATGAGAAGTACAAAATTGTCTAAAAGTTTAATATATAATTCTACCTTAAAAAGTTTAGAAATGGAAGAAAGTTAGTGCAGACTCAATATTCTGAGCGCTACTCCAAAGTTAACTTCCTTAGCACATGGCTGAGCTCCACAAATTATTTTATCAGAAAAACATTTTCTTCTTTACACATTTCTGCATCCACATAAGTAATTTCTTACATGAATCTTTACCTCTTTTGTCCTTCCTTCCACAGTTTCTCCCTGTGAGGGAATACAGTCAAAGCAAAAAGAAGTTGCCTGTGACCGACCACACTGACAAAATCACTCATACTATCCACTGTGTCACCAGCTGTTAGATCCTCTCCTAGCTTCATAGGAACTGAGATCTGGATCTCTCAGTTCTGGCTGTAAGTTGAAAGACACTAAATAGCACATGTGAAGGTTTGTCAGCAGAATATTTTTACTGTTTTCAACAGATGGCTAAACTGAAACAGAATGGCATAGAGTATGCTGGATTTTGCTTAGTTAGCTTTCCCTTCAATGTAATTTATGAGAAAGATTAAGTCACTAAAAGAAAACATAATTCTTCTCCATCATTAATCATTTGGCAAGCGTACAACCCACTGTTGGATCACCAAGAATTTGGGAGCAAACTGAAGCAATAGGCCATTGATTTGAAATGCACTACAAGAACCAGAGCTCTCCTCCACTGCTGGATGGAGGCACAAGTGTTTCTGCAGCAGGGGAGGGACATCAGCTCATCAGCAAAGCAGCCATTAAGCGAGTTACCTGTGGTGAGAACGGGATGTGACTGAGGCTCTGTGGGACTGCACAGCGCCGCGGCCACGCGTGGGATGTTTATTTACAGCGCTACGGGTGAAGGTGAAGGAGCTAACATGGAGTATTGGTTGTACGTTGCCCTAATGGAAGTTTCTATTTAAATGTTAAGTATTATTACAAGGAAACAGAAGAGCTGACAGGTTTATATTTTAGATAGTCCTTGCAAGGAATCTTCTGCAGAAAAGATACTGAAGAACCATGAATCCAGACCTGGGTCTAATTGATGAATTAGGATGGAAGCAAAGCTAATAGATCACTTGGAAATAAGAAAAAATGGGCAAGCTAAGAATAAATGTGGATATGCAAGAGTCAGGAAATTTTTGCTGTCAAAATAGACATTTACTGTAAGGCTGCTGGGCAGTATGGGGGTTTTTTTTTACTGGCATGTTACTTGTCTTCATTTCAAATGACTGCATTATCTACTCAACATATTAATTTTTATTAGGAAGTTAACTACTTAAACATTTAACATTTCCCTAATAATTTGAAGATGTGTTCAAACTCAGTGTGTTAACCTCCTGTGACTTTAGAGTGCCATAAGAAGTGAATCAATTTTATGGTTATAATGTCTTTGAGGTGCAAGGAAAAGGCATTACCCCTTTAAAGTTAATTGACCAAAGTTTTTATAGGACTGGCAACACCAGGCTTCCATATATGTTTTTCATTTTGAGAGAGCATTATTATAAGCAATGCTGTTTTCAAAGCTCTGGGCTTCCTGTGGATTATTTATTTTTTTTAAAGGACTCTAAAATGGATTCTGAGTGAAAACGCAAACTATTATAGCAGTGATAAAGTAATGATCATGAACTCTTAAAAGATTCTTCTGGTTTTTTTCTAAAATATTAGATTTTAAGTAAATCATAATAAAGCTCAAAGGACTAGAGACAAAAATTAGTTAACAAACTCAATATAATTTGCTGGAAGCATTCCTGTTTTCCCAGTTCTCTGAACAGTACCATACATCCAGCCATCATCAATTGGTTGCACATTGATGATATAATCACCATCCCTGAAGGAAACTTCATCTTCATCTTGGGCGCTGTAGTCATACATAGCTCTGTATGTTCTCTGTTGAAGGAAAGAAAACAAGACTGTAAAGCCTCAAGTCTAAACCTGAGATTATTCGATTCCTTCTCTTTGCACAAAGAAGAAAAGAGAAGGAAATTGAGGGAGCAAAGCAGAGAAAGAAATCACAAGTTACCTGTTGAAAAGGAACAGTATTCTCTTCTACACCCTGTCAAATATACAGTGAATACAGGTCCTTGTTCTGAGTAGCAAAATAATTACTTTGTTAACTCACATTGTCTTATGGCTTAAAACAAACAGATTACAACCCATTCACTGCATACTGAAATATTCTGTTGTTTCATTAATTCACTAGTAACAGTTCATTACATCCAGCCAGGCGAGCTCTACTTCTGCTCCCAATTTGCATGATTCGCAAATAGCTTCTCCTGTGCCTTCACTACAAGAAGAAACATAGTCTTCATCCAGGCCATTAAATTTTCCATCTCACTGAATGTCCTTCATTTCATTAGGATTTTACCCAAATTAAGAATTATGAATGCATTATTATCTAAAGAAAATATTTTTTAAATTCTATTAAAATAATTTCTATGAATACTAATATTTTCATATTCAGACAAAATGTAGTACATAAAGTATCATCATAAACTAAGACAAATTTCTCTACAACCCTGCCCACTATAAGACAAGCTTTCAGTTTTTTTCTCTGTTTTTCTAAATAGAGTATTTGTTTCCACTCACAACCAATAAAATGCTATCATTTACTAGAATTCAAAGTGGATTTTCAAACTCAGGAAGAATAGTCTCCCCTTGTATCTTAACAGCAGAATAAAACTAGCTCATTTTAAAATTCCCAAGAGTACTTTCTTTTCCTTACCCTGGCTCTTAACAGAAGTCAAATGCAGTTCAAGCATTACTGATAATATCCAATTTCCCTTACAGTAATTTTTGTTATGTTACCATATGTAGCTGAATTTTTCTGGTACAATAATTTAGAGATAAAAAAAGGCAAAACAGTCAATGTGTGAGTTCATGCCTAGTACTATTGTCTGAGCCTTTTAAAAGACAGCAAACTTCTCTGCTCAAGAAAACAGCTTTGAATTAGTTTTTTATATATGGGAGCTTGAGTGTATTTAATAAAACTATTTTTTAAAAAGTTGGTGATTGCTCCACATGGAGTGAGCAAGCCATTTGTCACATGTTGAAAATGTGGAATTATTTAATCCACTATAGGGCAACTGATCACTACTGTTCCCATGCTAGAAATATACTTTTAGTCTTGGCTCTGTCATTAATAGTGCAAATTAAACAGGACAGAGAAATCAGCTCCTATTTAAACACTGGAGAGCATTGAAGACCACCTTTCCTGACAAAACTACCCTGAACTGCATTTCAGTCTTGTTATTGTTCTCTGCCATGCCTTGTAGTGTTGCTGACCTACAGGCTGTGTCCAAGAGCAGTTTTCAGCCAGAGGTATGTGCTTTCCCAGTGGTTCCTTAATGTCTTCCAAGTGTGCATGGAACTCAATTTAAAAAAGGATCATTTTTTATCCACTACATGACAGTAACTAATTTATTGGGTTCTATCATCACCAAAAATCCTTAAATAGTCATAAATTAGACAACTAGCCATCAAAAGACTCTGCCTTTCAGAATCTTATTTTTTCCAAGTATTTTAACTGATCTCGCTGCTGAGACTTGAAACTAACTCCAAAAAAGCAGTGAAAAATATGTTATTACAACAAACTCAGCAGCAGTTAGCCCCTTAAACAATTTATTTCAGAAGAGCATCCATTTAAGAAAAATGGTAGCAAGTCTATATCTGGTATAAGGCAGCAAATGTATTTTGCCTAGAGCCATGCTTATAGGTACCCTTAAATAGGAAAAGACTGGTGAAGAAATTAAATATTTCATTAAACTAACAAAAAATTGGAAAAATAGAGAGGTTTTGCTCACTCAGAAGGATGCTCACTCTTCCTTAGAGCACCATGGCAAAGGACATACCATTGCTGTCTCCTAAAAGGCAGCTTGACTACATCACTGTGGTGCACAGTTGTGAAGACAAGCCCACAATTCCAAACTTTAAAAGAATTTATTAGGGCCCTAAATGCTGCTGGGAAACCTAAATTTATCGCTTTAACACCTAATTAGGTGCTGAATGGCTGTCAGGAGAAATCTCCATAATAATCCTGTTAGCATTTAATGCCTAATTATCACTGCAGAGAGTAGTCTGGGCTATATAATCGAGAATTACAATGCCTAAAGGACTCAAAGCAGGGATTTTAAAATGCATTTCAGTGAATTATTTCTCAGTATTCCTCACTAGTGAGTTTAGCTGGTACTAACTTACAAGAGGGTGTAAGTTTGGAGTTCTGGAAAAGAGTCGAAACTCACTTGTCTGCCACCTGCTCAAAGGCCTGTCTCACACCCACTGCTTAGACAGACCTGTAAGACTTGTCCATATGAAGAACTGAAATCCAGCTAATATGTTCTCAGCTCCCCAGCCTGTTCTGGGGGACAGATGTGTATTTCCACTTCACCCCAATTCACACCGTTTCTGTGAATGGCTCGATGCAAAGAGCAGTAACAGCTGCAGCATCCTCCACATACAGCAGCCATCAAGGAAAGCCAACTCGAAGCACAGGTTTTGTTTTCCTACCACTCTTGGATATGAAACAATGTGTGGTGAGCATCCCATTATTTTCCAAATAGGAAAACACCCTTCAGGGCTTTCTGTTATAAAATACTTTGTACCCTGAGCAACAATTTAATTCACCCCATTATGCAGAACTGCTCGCAGAAAGCGAGGAGAAGTTAAGAATCAGAAAATAATGCAATTTATTTGAGGAAAAAAAAAAACAAAACCTATCCAAAGACTGTGTTAGGATCATGCTTAATACAAAACAGAGCCTACAAAATTAAATAAACCAGAAATTGAATTTGAAAATTTAGAAATTAGAAAAATTCTGCTTCTTAATATAGGAGACCAGTGAATATGATTATAAAATGAATTTATGCATTTTGGGGGCAGATTTGATAACAATACAACAAAGAAGTAAATATACTGGAGCAGCTAACTCTGCAGTCATCTCTGCCCTGATATAACCCATGGGATCTTAATCACTTCCACCCTAGCGACGTCCTGGCAAAATTCAGGCACTGATGAATGTCTTTATCACCTTCCCTGCTTTTAGCTAAACCTCAAAAAAAAAAAAAAAAAAAAAAAAAAAAAAAAAAACCAAAAAAGCTGCTCAGGCTTTGAGGTCACTATTCTAGGATTCCTTTCCTCCAGTCTCCTTCCCCAGCGACTTTCTTCTCATTTTCCTCCCTCTGTGATTAGCCAGACAACACTGCATCCCTGGCAGGACTGCTCCAAGCCCAGAACTGAACAGGCAGCTGAAAGCAACACACCTAAACATTGTGTAGGTTTGTCAGATCTCCTACAGCATGTCCACACCTCATTTTGAATGTGCTCTAAGACAGTCATCAATCTTCAGTCTGTTCCATTTAAACACATCTCCAGCCAGGGGCTTCCCCCAGGCACACTCTGAGACCACTCTGTGTTATCCCAATAGCTGAGTGCAACATCTGCATCTGGATAAGCTGCACAGGCTAATGAAATTATTCTAGTCTTAAGATAGGAAGACAAGGGAATCTGGTAGGTTTCTAACTGTATCTGAGATGCCTCTTTGGAAGCAGAATCATCACCCCAGGGTGGTAAGATCACACTGTCTTCCTCACCAGACTGGCAAGTTAGTAGTCAGCACCAGGCCAGCAGTCTTTGATTTCCTCTCTCTAGAACTGATTGGGGTTTATTTTCTAAAGGGAAATCCACTCAGTTTTTAACAGCAAAATGAGTTTAAATCATAATGTTTGCTGTTTTCATTTTTTCCCATGACAAAATATTATCACTTACAAGGATGTCAAGTAAAAATAGTTTCACAACAGGGAAAATAAATCTGTTGAAGTAAGTCAATCTTACTTTTAAAATCCTTTAACATCACTCCCTTTTTTTCCCTATTAGCTTCACATTCCCAATTCTGGAAGAAGAGGCAAATGATGGTTCTCAAGATGAGTGAACTGACACTGTTTTGACAGCCTGTCAGGTAAGTCACTGGGACACAGAGGTATTAGGAAGCAGTAGTCATCTCTCAGCCCACAAAGCTGCAAAGGCTGGTAAGTGCATTCTGAGATTTGCAGGCATCCCCATCTTCCACTGGATTTGAGGGCTGTTTTCTTTGCTCCCCAATGACTACCAAATCTGCTGGCAAAGTGCTGGCTTCCAAGTCTCCCACTTTTTGGAAAGCAACCAGCTCCCAAAGTGCCTTGTAATATCCTTGGAAATTAATGGTTGATTCCACTATCAGCTGTCTCACAGCTGTCATGCAGGCGTCTAAAGATGTTTCTCAGGTTATTGACTCACTCAGTGATGGAGGTATCTGGATCCCAGATGGATCCCAGACTTTCCAGCAAGTTAGCCCCCTCAGCCCCAGACAGCTGAGAATCTTGACAAGCCTGACACTACTCACACCACACAGAAAATCATGACCTTTACAATATAAAATGTCATGGAGTTTCAGGTTTACAAAAAAATACAAGTTTCATCTAATCTTGAAAACAGGTATTTTTTGAGCTCAGCAAGCTCTAAGTTTAGTTCATAATTAAATATTTATTAATCTCTAAAAAAGGTGACAATGTAGTAATCACCTTAGAGGTAGAGGTGACTGACTCATAGAGGTAGTAAATGTGCATATATTCAAAACAGTTTAAAATTCAAAATTATGATATTTTAAGGTAAAAGGTGGCTGGATCTCTAGGCAGCGATACGATTTAAAAAATATGATAACCATTAAAACTGAAATTTTTATATACGGAGTTTAAAAAAAAAGAAGCTTAATTTCCTAAAAATCCCAGGTGAACACCATTCATCTCTTCCTCCATGACCAGCTACTTTGAAAATGAAATATTCACTCCAGCTTTACATTCCCATCCACCACAGTTGAGGACTTCATGAGGCAGCCACAGCTTCATGATAAAGCTTCTTCTCAGTTGCCAACCAGTGTAACTCAGTTTGGATCTTACATGAGTTGGTGCAGCTGTGTGCATTAGAAAGGGCACAGCAATCTGGAGTCTGAGCTAGCTCTACACAAGCAGAAGTAATACAGGTAGGCACAACCCTGCTAGCACAAAATCAGCAAGTCAAAAAAAATTGAAACCGATTTAAACCAACAGGGTGATCTTAAGAGAGCACTGGTTTTCATCCAGTGCTAGGAGAATGAATTCATCACAGAGCATAACATCAACATTCAGCCTGTGAAATACTGTCCAAGCATCTATTTGTTTTAAGTAGGTAAGTAGGTAAAGAATTCAGTTATTTCTCTGCTCTCTGAATAGCATAATTTTTTTAATGTATTCTAATATAGAAGTTTTTACCACTGCCCATAGTCACTTAAATCTTTTCCATACATGAGGACTAACAGTTACATTTATGATAAAGACAGTCAAATAGGTCAACTATAGAACTCTAGGGTTCAATTCTGCCATATTTAAGAGATTTCACAATAGCTGATGATGGTGCTTACCAAACAAAATCCTCCTTTAAATTCAATACTTACCAGACTTGCTGAATGAGGCTGTGAATGCATGGACCTCATGGATGACATACTGGTCTGGTGCATGTATCCATATCCTTGAGTCTGGCTTTGTTGATATGCCCCAGGGAGAACAGGGGCTGCATTAAAAAAATACACACGTTAATTAATATTTTAAAACAGCCCTTATCTAACATTTTGTAGAAATGGTAGACTATTTTCACTGTTAATAGCATTAATTTCTCCATACAAAACACTTCCATTATTTCCATAAAGAACATAAGGCTTTTTAAAGGCTGATTTACACATAAATGTAGCCAAAGCTATAACAATACATCCACAAACATTATTAGGGTTAGTTGGAAGGAAAAGTTTAACATACCATTAGAAATTTAATCATTAAAAGGTTTATGAAAGTTTAAGAGACCATGAACTCAATTTTGGTACTGACACAAATGAGGCACTAAATATATGTCCCATAAGCTGCCATCTTTAGGGAATGAATAATGAATAAAAGCTAATACAGTTATGAAATGGTTTACTAGAAATTCACTGTAATTAATTCTTAACCAATTGCAAACTAACTCTTATTTATTAGGCTATGAACAAAGAATGATTGCAGTTCACAAGAAGAGGCAGAAATTTTAAGTGAGCGCACAGTCAAGTTTTTTAGTTTATTCTGATTTCATCAACATTCTTAGTCCAACACAGAGAAATCAATGCTACTTATATATTTCGAAGTCCACCTTATTCAGTATTTTCCTCTTACCACATAATTGTCCAATTTCTTTAATACATATTTTATTCACATTTTAACACTTCTGTATACTAATCAATAACATATTAACTTATATTGTACCAAGAAAGCTGCTGAAACCATGACTACAACTAACAGGGATCTCTAACTATATTGCTTACAAGAAAAGCATTCATAAACTTCCCACATCTGCCCAAGCATCTTACTATGGCAACCTACTGAAATAAAGCTGTGTTAAAAACATGATCAAAAAACATGATCAAAAAACATGATCAAAAAACATGATCAAAAAACATGATCAAAAAACTGTGAGAAATAAGCCCAGCATAAGTAACTATCTTCCTAGCAAGGCCAAAAACTATTTTAAAAGCAAAATTAAAAATACTGAAGTGGTTTCAAATTAGAAAGATTAAAGTTTAGTCACTACATACTTGTGCATATTTTACAAGACTTAGGCTCTCTAAGAATAAAGATTTCTGGCTTGCATGGAGGTTATTACCCCACCTCCACTGTTATTTGCCAGAATTTTACTAGCTCAATGGGGAATTCATTTAGCTACACTGAAAAAAAAAAAGTGTATTTCTGCTGATATTTTTCAAGTGGTCTATTTAGCTGATAGTCTATCTCCTCTTCCAAAAGCTGTCTTTTGGTTAAAGGAGATAGAACTTATGCAGCAAATTATTAAAAAATCTTCAAACATTCAGCAGTCCAGCACTTCCTGGGATAGATCTCTTGAGCTTCTCGGGAAGTTAGAATCACTTCTGCAGCAGCCATCACACACAGATTCAAAAAGGAGCAAATCTAACATAAGATTTAACAGGGTTCACAATGTGTGAAAGGATCCAGGGCTTGTAAAATGAAAAAACACATGGGAAAAGCAAGAAATCCCAATAAAGATATATATTTATTATAAGTATTCATATTTGCACTAGTATTACACCATAATTCTCTGCTTCTTGAGTTGTCAGGACAAGAAATGTGTGTGAAAAAATGGATTACTGAGTAAATTTTTGCTCAACTATTTCAGAAAGAAAGGTCAACCTTGTGCTTTCAGCAAGTTATTTTACTAATCCTGCTTCATTGATTTCAACAAAGGTTCTTCTTAAAACTTACATTTAGTTTTAGTTAGCATATTCAAGTGCACTAAGTGTGTAATTACAATTTGGGATGCTACACTTTGCTCTACTATACTTGTAAAGATCACTAACACTATATATTAACTAGGGTTATTCTTATTTAGAAAACATGCTTCAAACGATTGTAATGAATAGATTGTTTTGTTAAATGAGGGAAATTAAAGTGATATGCAGTCAGATGCAGCATTGAACACGATGAATAATGGAGGTTCCAGAAGGGCCAAGTTCATTCTAATGACATATAAGAAGAAAGATATTTTAAAGCAGTTCAATCATCAGAAAATTGCCACTCATTAACATGTTCACAGAATTATCATGCATTCAGTGAATAGTCCTACGTAGTTCATCAAATAATTTATGTTTCAATGTTTTTACAAGCTATTTCCACATGAGCAGATGTGGCTCTTTGTGAGAAAATACTGAAAAACATAATTTAACCAAAGGTTCTGCGATCAAGCTGAAATGAATACATTTTGTCTAATTCACCACCAGCATGAATTGTAGGCCAGTTTGTCAAAGTCAACAGAGTCTCATCTCCTCACACCAGCAGCAAATTACTTTTATGGGTTGAAAACTAAGCACAGCTTGAACTTTTTAACTTAGCAGGAGGAGTACTTCAGCCAACACTGACCACTGATCAGCCAGCAGCAAGCCTGCCCTGCAACAGCAAAGGGCTGGTAGCTCTTCCCTGGTCCCTGGCAGGGTCAGACATCCTGAGAGTCCCTTTCTTCTTCCCAAGAGAAGCAAAGGCTGGTAGGAACCTTTTGTTCCTGATTCCTTCTCCCCAAATGAGATCTTTCTCATTTCCTATCAATCACCCCTTGCCAGCATAAAGCATCAAGCCCAATGATGGTCAGCTTCATTGTGACCTCCAAGTCAACTGTCTTATTTTGGGGAGGACAACCCACAGCTCCCTCCTCTGTCACAAGTGACAGCTGCAGGTCTGAATGTGCTTTCCTCTTTAGCAATCAGTCTCTCACAAGCTGAGACAATTCGGTCAAACTGACTCAACAAAGCTGTTTGCTACTTTACCTGCAATGAGAGAAAACATAAATCTACAAAAATAAACCATTTCTTCCAAGGCATGAGAAATTCGGGGAAGTAATAGAAATTTTAGTATTAGAAAAAGATTTTATACAAACAGAAAGAAGGATTAGTTTTGCTAATTATCTTCTAGTCATTTATTTAGGTATCATATATGTGAGTATAAATATCAGCACTAGTGTTGAAGACACTTGCTTGAATAATTCCATGTGGGCTGGGGGTTTTTCCATTAAAAGAATACTATAGTATTCAAAAACAATCATCATTTTCTAACAACTTTTAACAAAGAATACTGAAGAAACTTTCAGAGGATGGTTTATTTGGAAGACTATTTGGGAATTATATAAATAAGAAGAATAAGTGAAGAGACAATTCTGAGCTGTGTTTCTCATGACATATGGATAATTCAAGGTGAGATTAAATTATGCAGAGAAAGAGTTTGACTTTTTTTCATCACCATCACACATAGTTAACTGCAATCTTTTGGCTAAGTCAGAAGTATAAAGCTCTATAACATCATTGATTGCAGCAGCAGCCAAAGCAATGGTTTTAGTTAACCTAAGGGAACAATAAAACGCAGTGGTGGAACATGAAATTCATTTAAGTGAAGTCAGATTTATTGGTGATGGAGCTGAGGGCTGACTGTTGCTCCCAGAAGTACAGGTGGATTTTTTTTTTTTTTTTTTTTTTTTTTTTTTGTTTTTTTTTTTTTTTTTTTTTTTTTTTTTTTTTGGCTGCATTAAGACTTTTCCAGATGCATTCTGATTTATCAAAACTTACTTATTTTTTTTCTTGTCCTACTTACCAAGCAAGCCAGATATTCATTTTAAATTATCTATTTGCATAAATGTATCATATATCTCTTACTATATCTTTACTGGTTTCCTCAGAGAAATGAGCAAGAACAATGAATGAACATTATACAAGACAAACAGAGAGGAAGCCTCCAAGAAAAAGAAGCAGCTGGAAGAATGATAGCACCTATCAACTCTCTGCTGCAGACAGTGGGGTCTGCAGTGTGTATACTGATCAGGATATGCTTTGAAAAGAACTGGGGAGGATAAAGGTCAAAATGTAGAAACAGGAAAGGAATCCTTAAGAGAGCATCGTATAACTATGAGCTTAAAAAGAAATGTTATATTAAAAAGAAAAATCAGTCAAAAGTTAGGTTCTGAGATACATTTTCTCAATACCATACTTAAACTCTCTGCCATTCTTTTGTACAGCAAAAACTTGATAATCCATGGTAAAACAATATATCCTCAGTGTTACTTTTGCCATTTACTGCAACACATGCCAATTACTGAACCACATGCAAAATAACCATTCCATTTACTCACACACATCATACACTTTTAAGGATTTAATAGTATCCTTCCTATTCTGATAACACCTTAAGTCACAGTTTCAGTCCTAAGACTTCATACAACTCACAAAGAAAATTGCAACAATCTGTAATCATAACATGGGAAAACACAAAGTTAATATAATGACTTTGATTACTATGTGCCTAGTTCTAATGTCTGCAATACATTAGGTAAAAAGCTGCAGGCTTTCTGAGTGACACAAAAGAGCCAGAATACAGCATCATCATATATCTCTGTGTTACTGCCATTACAATGAGCTCACCCAAAACAGATGAAGCTACTTAAAGGTATCATGCTCATCCATATATATGGAAGTCCTTCCTTTTTTTTTTGCCTTGCTACTGCTATATTTTTCACAGGTTACTTCATTTCATGCAGGCTTCACAGACTTTCTTTAGAAAGCTTTCCTCACAGTTTTCAGTTCATTCTTTCTTTGGTTCTTCCCTTAGAAAGCCTCAGCTATGTCCCAGGCAACAGAAGACAGAGTGATGCAGTCACACATGGGGAGATGCAGACCTACAGGACATTCCTGGGGACTCAAGTCACCCCATGTGCTGTCCATGTGCACAAGTCACTGTGTCTGAACTGCACAACCCCCTTGACACTTCCCAGTATATTACCTGGCTAAAGAAATACACCTGGCTAAAGAAATACAACCTTAGGAAATACAGGAAACAAAACTGTTACTGCTCTCTTAAATCTGGTGGATAATAACAACTGATACCTTTTAAAGCCTTCTCCAGAAAGTGTTAAAGAGGTTACTTTAATTGCAAATTCTGGGTAGATAATTTTTTTTTTTCTATCAATTTCCCCAGATGTTGGTAGCTACACACCATCACTGAAATATTTAAAGTGAATGTTTTTCTCAAAGTAGCCTCTAAAAATAATATAGTTTGTCCCCATTTAAAATGAGGGCCAAATTTTCAGATAGGTTCAGTTTCTTCAGGCCTTGTCCTGTCAATTTTTATTTTGGGATCAGCAGATTTTAATACACCTATTTGAGCAACCACAAACCCTCTAATTTCTCCTCCATATTTCCCATGCTCCTCAGATGAGCTCAGCTCAGCACTGCATTAATCATATAAGCAACCTGAGAAACAGTTTTAAGGAGAGATTTGAAGGAGGTTAACACATTAATTCTGCAGAAGTTCACATCCTGCTCAACAGCAGCATAAACAGAACATCATCATTGCTAGCCAAGAATTTAGTAAGATTTAAAGAAGGCCCATATGACAGGCTAATCAGAAACAAGAATCTTGACACTTTGGCAACAAGTAAGGCAGGTTAGATGTGATGAGGGTATAACATTAAAGAGGCATAAAGAGTAGAAAAGTAACTTCACTGTTACGACAGCCAAGCTTTTAGCAGAATTTTAAAGATGATGTGCTAAACATCATTCTCTGCTGAAGTTAAGACTTTTGGAAGAATTTGGCAGGAATTATGAGGGGATATGTCTCAAGGAGGTTACAGGCAGTCCAGCTCTGGTGCCCACTGCATATCTGAGGTTGGTTCCCCATGAGCTGGCTGAGACAGCCTAAAACTGCTGCTACCCCTTCCTTCCTCTCAGCTAGGCTGTTCTTCTGACTTGGTGAGCTCAGCCAGGAATCAGATCAAACACAGTGCAAAGACAGAGGCAGGACCCAATGCCACGGACAGCAGAAAGCAATGAACAGCTAGATCAGCTCAGTTATTGCAAGGTATGTCCTCCTAAGCACCTCTCTATTGTGCAAGCTGCCTCTGAATTAAAACCACAAAAGAGCTGAGCCTCTCACAGACACTTTCCTCCAGATGTCCCAGCACCCAGCTCCAAACAAAGCACCCCATGTAATGCAGGTGCTCCTACGTGTTCACATGTGGCAGACATTGCTCAGCTACTTGCAAGCTACTTGCATCCTAGCTCCCCCTAATACTCTTAAAAAGTCATAGTGGAAGTTTAGAGAATATTAAACCTAAGGCAGCCAGCAAGAGCTGTTTACTTGACAGTATAAACAGGTGTCAGAGAACTTAAAATAATTCAATGAGCGTGCAAGGATTGCCCAGGGAGGTTGATATGAGAACTCTGCAGCAACCCCACTGTACTGAGCAAGGAGATGGTCTCTAAAGAATACAGTAAAAAAGCAGTTGCAGAAGTAGAAAAAACAAACAGAAGAGTACAGGAATGTTAGACAGATGCAACATCAAGAAAACCTCAGTAATAATTTTAAAGTGCAGAACTGATTGCCAAGAATGCTCCTGTCCCCAAATAGGAGGATTTTTTTTTTAAATCCCAAAGTTTCATGCAAAGAGAAATGTTAAAATTTGGGTAAAGAAACTTTTTTTGCCAATCATATCAAAGTATCTATACTTTTCAATCAGTATTACAGCTCATATGTCTCTTCAACATTAAATATATTTCAACACAAAGCTGGATTCCTTGTTTTAAAAATCTCAAACTGAAAAATTTGGTTCTTTTGGCATTGAGACATCCATCCCATGTAACCCTTCCTATATAAAAGTTTTCCTTTTAAACTACCATCTTCTGATGAACACTGAAAAATTCCCAGCTTATCTATTACAGACTTTTTTTTTTTTAATCAGAAAGAGTAGCATAGCACAGTCAAATTTACTGGGAATAGTTCAGACTGTGTAAACAATACAAAAAGCACTAACCTGATGACTGAAGATGATGAGCTCTGATACAGAAAAATGCTGTTTTCAGAACAGTAGAAAACACCATAGTAAGGCATCTTGGCATTTTTTCTTGTAAAAGTAACTTTCTCTTCATTTCTTCTGAGTTTTTTCCCCTCTTTTCCTTGTCCTATACTAGTCAGTTAGCCTGCCTTTATGGATGTCTGAGCAACCAGGCTGGTCACTCTCAGTGGTTCTGTCAGAATCAGCAGTTTCTCTGCATGCTATCCATTACAGGAGTCAGTAATAGTTAGTAAATTGGAATATCAAACCCAGATATAATTAGGATGGTGAAATAACAACCTGAAAGTATGGCCTAATTCACAGAGGATGTTAATAAGTATCTGCCATGCTCACTGACCTCATTAGAATTGAAGCTCTGAACTATTTGGATTCAGTAGCAAATTCAGAATGTTACAGCTTAGGAAGTTTCCATAACCTAATTTCTAAAGATATAAGACATAAACTGTGCAATCTTGAAATGCTTTAAAAAACAATGGAGAGGAGGCCAACAAAAGTACTGATATTGTGTTTAAAGTATCATTAATTATTCATCATGAAAAAAATCAAGACATCTCCACTCTCATGACTACTTACTGACATACTACAGTTTATAAAATAATGTATTTTAAACTAAATTTCTTAAGTGTCATGATTAGACAAAAAATTGTTTAAAGAATAGTTATTTCAGAACTCCATTTTATCAGTTAGCAATAATTAAGGCTAACTATATTGTATCCACCATGCAAATTGAAGTAGATTATTATGGGAAATGCAGAATCATGCAATTATAACTCCTGAGAGCAATTTCAACACATGAATTTAAAATCTGATTTAGAATGAAATTGCAACAAAAGCTCTCATAGCTGCTGAGCATATGACAGAGAAAACTAAGACATTTTGAAAGGAACTACAAAAACATGTCTAGGGTGCTCATGTAACACTGGAATCCTGTGTTTTATTTGAGATTTCCTTTTAGACAGGGACTAGCTCATATTTCAGTCCAAAGTTCTTGATTTGTATGAACAAGCAATAATAATAGTTATGCTGGTCTTTGTGTTTTAAGGCCATCATAAATCCAATAGCAGATAAAGAGAGAATTTGAGAAATACTATCCAGGACAGTGGAAGAACAGTTGGCAAACTGTCTCTCTAGTACATCATAGTCTACATGTCTGGTGATGCAGACCTTCTTAATTCTTCACATTTAAAGGAATGGTGGATCCATCAATTCCATCATATTATTTTTCATGGCAAATTATCTTCCAAGGTCCATTCTGGACTCTCTGAGGGTTCTAAATCTCTGTATTTCAAAAGTCAGTCTCTCATGGACAATTTTTTCCTTAAAAAAAAAGGAGTATGGCTTTCATTCCTCTTCACAGTAACTGCAAAATAGCAATATATTTTTAAAATGCCCTAGGCTAGCACAGTCTCCAGAAACCTTGTCTGCAAGCAGTTATCAAATAGCACAGTCTAGAGAAAAATGAAAGGAACCCAGCATGTCCTATTTTCTGTAGTCAGCATTAAAAGAAATAGGACAGTAAACAGGACATCTATCCTCACCATGAAAAGACAATAAGACAGGGAATATTTTTGCCAGAAAGAGATTGTGGATACTGCTTAGAGAATAATTTTTATTGAGGTACAGGAATTGGAGGATACTGGGTAATAGCTCAAAAGCTTTTGAGATCATTAATACATTACTGTCCTAGTAAAGCATCACAGAATTGTTAAGTATTAACTACACATAATTTAGTGCTCTGGCAACAGGAGAGGAGAAGAAGCCAAATCTCAAACAAGCCACACACTCCCTGCCTGTGTCTGACTCTGGATCAGTGAGGTGGTAAGTGGCAGCCTCATAGCTTACAAAAAGGAAAGCCAGTCCTGTTCTGGTAGAGCAGACAATTTTCATGTTCTGAAAATGACATCAGCTTCCACAGATTACTTTTGGAATGGTCATTTAGGGCTGCAAGACCATAAACACTTAAAAGAATTTATATGATAAATGCAATACCATAGTAGGCCCTTCAAACACAATGTCAAATGAAAGTAACAGTGTTTTTTATAAAATAGGGTGTTAAATGATCTCCCAGAAAATTCAGTAAAATATTTCTAAGTGTTATCAGCCTTTAAAAATATAAGAAAAGGCTGTTTGTAGTATTTTTTCATATTCATGTTTTTGTTGGTTTTGCTAAAAAACACCACAAAATGAAAGTGAACACAATATAAAACTACAATTTAAAATTAATTGTATTAATTATTATCTTCATCCAATGTCTTTAAACAGTTGTTTTGGGGATTTCAAAAGTAGTGTGAATTCTATATCAGACTATTTAAGACTTTATGGCCAGCTACAACCATCTACTTCACTTAAAATTTATTTCTCCTAAAATACAAACCATTTATTCTCCTTCCAGATTCCACTGAGAAATTTTTACTACAGCGCTGTAAAAGAGAAAATTACTTAAACTATTTGACTTCTAATCCTAAAACTAGAGTCCTATTTCTTCCTAGCTTTGAATCCAAAAATGTAATTTTAGAGTTATTGTGATGAACACAAAATATTCTAAACCAGTTAAATGTAGTGATAAAAAATTTAGTTTGATGTTCAACTGCAATATCTTTTCTAGATGTTTAATTCACTCATTTTCCTCACAAAAGTAAATTAAATGCATTAAATACTCTATTGTAACCTGAGGAAAAAAGAATTACTAACAGGGTATAGATTATATATTGTCATAGGAATTTTTCTAGCAGTTCAAATAGAAAAGATCATTTTATTCAGACACCACTACAAATATGAGTTTGGCATTTCCTTCAGTGGTAGCTGGACAGTCCAAAGAGTTCAGCCCGTGTGTCTATTACCAGCTGCTATGCCACAATAGGCACACACAGCCCCACTTCCCTGCTGGTTCTGTGCCTGGAACACAAGCAGACCCCAGGGATCCTGCTTGCAGCACTGCAGGAGCTGCAGCCAGGACTCGCTGTTACAGACTTAGTGCCACCTGACTTTTCTGCCTGACATTCAGCCTAAGTTGCAGCATGTCTCAGCTGAGACAGTAGTACAATCTGCCTTTTCTCTCTTCACACATCCAACTACATTAGTTTATTTATGAAGGCACAAAATGTCTTAAAGCCAGCCCAAGGCATCCTCAGTCCTAGTGGGGCCATGGTGTACCACAAGGAGCTGCAATTCCTACTTAAATTGTGAATAGGACAGCTTTGCACTAGGCTTCCTCACAAAAGGGAAGATTTAGTAAAATGAAGGTTAACATGTTACATTACCCACATGCCTTTAATTACAATTATAATTTTCTTACATTTACTGAACATCTACTGTTGCCCTTGTGCATTAGAGAGAGAAGCCTGTAAGTTCTTCTCACAGAAGCTGTGCTTTGATTTCTGTGCATCGATTTATTTGCATAGTGGGTATAACCAATCTGAACAATGGTGGAAGGATAGCATTAACCAGGATCATGTATGTCACTGCACACAATTTTACTAATTATATTTATTGTCTACTGGATATAACATTCTCTGAAGTGTATCAAAAGCTGCTCTAGGGAATCACACTGAAGAACTGAAAACAACTCTTTGCCAAGGGAGCCATTAACACTTCCACCTGCTGAGTCCCCTGGAAACTTCCTTTCCAATTTCTGCTCACCAACTGTTTAATGGAAAAGGGAACATCAAACTCAGACAGCAGGCAGAACAAACAGAAGTATCCCCTGAACTGCTGCTATACTACAGAAATTAAAAATGGGATCTCTTCTGGATTGTCCTCCACCTGGATGTGTGAGGACTGTCTTTTGATGCTGCCAGATGCCAAGAGTGTGGGAGAGAAGCATGGGAATCAAAGATAGGCATAAGGAATCTAAGCAAAAATATTTTGGAAGTATGTAATGTATGTTCTCCCTGAAACATTAACTCATCCTCAGTGAACAGATACTGAATTAATATGTGCTTTCAGAAGAATCAACAATTTCTATCTTAACCAGCAAGGAGTATTTAGTTTTATTCCCAGCATGCTACACCAGACCTTAATCAAAATCTGACTAAGCAATCACTTGAATTACTATATGAATTTTCAAGCTTTATGTTAAAAAATAAGGTTTTACAGATAGCTAATACCTCTTTGTGGTGGAAAAGAAAGACATATAATTTTCTGGACTAATTTCTCTCATGTTCTGCATTAAAAAAGCAGAGGATACTAAAAGTCCAATAGTCCAGACTAGGACAGAAACCTGACAATGCACAGGATTGTGCATAAATGTAGTCCCAATGCCTTTCTGGATTCCTATACTTACATGGCTTAAAAGGCTCAAATGGTTTATTCAGAGACAAAATTATATATTAAGCAGAAATCCTCTTACCATGTAAACACACAGAAATTAGCACATTTGTAGGGAACAACTCAACTTGTTTCTACCTGAAATCTAAATTCTTACACCAAACTTCGTCTTTACTTTTTCTTCTTACCTCAAATCTAGAGGTAAGAAAGTTTTTAACACCAGGAAGCCTCCCACTGTTTTCAAGAACTCTTCTAGCTGTAATGACATTATTTTAAATCGGGAAAAAAATGCCCTTTGGATATTAGGAGGCACTACAAAATAGGAGGCAGAAACTGAAACAGCAAAATACACCTCCTTCAAATGAAAGATGCAATTTTCAGAAGGGAGAGAGCTCTGTCTTGCTGCCTGAAAAACCACGTCTTTTCGGGGTACAATGTGGTTACAGCAAACCTTTACAAGGGAAACTATATAATTTCTGTAAAAATATATTTGAGAATCGAAGACCAGGGTTCACTAGTTTTGGAGAGCAAGCTCTTTAACAAAGAAAACTCTTAATGCTAAATAATTTGTGGCACCAGATAGATTACAAACATACATGCACTTGTGTCTCTATAACATACAGGGGAGCTATTTAGTTAAGTTCAAAAATATCACAGAAGTTTGTGGGTGAGTTGTTTATTATTTGACTGCAAGCATTTGCAGTACGTTACACACTTAAGAACAAAAAATCACCTGATTACCAAGATGGGAAAACAGTTTTACCAAAATGCTGTTGAATGGAAGAAGACTATTTTTTTCCCATATGTTAGCTTTCAGGTTGGCAAACCTGCTGGAGGCTGGCATGTTAAAGAAGGAAAACCAAAGTACCATCTAGTCTGAAATACAAAAAAGTCAGAAACAGATGTAAGAGTCTGGTAGCTAAGAAAAGTGTCAATGTGATCCTCACTAAGAGGGACCGAGAGTAGACAGAGAGCATCATTTTGATTTGGTTTGTTCAGCTTTCTGTGGCAGGGCAGCCTGCTGACACACTTGAAAGGGGACAAGATGCCTACATTCTTCCCGTGAACTACACAATTCCTCTCCCTCTGAATGCCATGTTTGATTACCAGACTCTAGGGAACACTATGGAAATAGACCTCAGCTACCTAGCAGAAAAGAACAATTCTCTCCTGACTGACAGAGAAGAAAATATAACTGCTGTGCCATTCTGCTTGACCTCCCCAAAATGGCAGAGCTTACCAACTGAATATGAATACGAAGAAGAGTGAAGGATTCTTGCTCTGTACTCCTGACACCTGAACCTGGACATGGAAGACAGATCTCTCCATTACAACATAAAGAGCAGTAAAATATTGTTCTCTCTTTTTTTCTTCAACTTGTCTTTTACTAATGGTGATTTTTCCCAACCTCAAAACCAGAGGGTTTTTTATAAAAATTCATGGGAAGAACAGATCAAGGAAGGGATTTTCAAGATTTTTGTTCCACTTCTTCATTCAGCTCTTTGCACAGGAGAAGAGTTATGACCACTATCCCAATGCAATGAGACTCCTTGGCTTCATACTAGGAAACATTTGCAATACCAATGTGTGAAATAAAGAGGGATTGTCTCTATTTTATCTGAGTAATTTGTAGTCTTCTTACCAGACTAACCAGAAGCAGAAGGAACAGCAAAGTTACTTGTTCTAGGATTTTCCATGGTATATACGTGTGTGTGTCAAAGCCTCAGGCAAATCCTACAAACAATCATTTTACATACAGAGTTACAGATATTGGTGTGCGCTGAGGGAAGTGAAGGAGAGATCCTTGAAATTAACGTTTAAAATGTCAGAGTTGGGCTGAGCAATAAAAGGCCTCTCCTTGAGCTGGTACACAGAACAAGGCTGCTGACAGTGACACACAACAATACCCAAGGTCTGTGTTTGCTCTTAGCAGGGCTGTGTTCACACTGCAGCTCTAACAGCAGTTCTTCTAATGGCCTACAGATAAGCTCCTGCCTCAGTGAGGAAAGGAGGAAGATAACCCCTGGAGTCTGAAGGAAGGGAGGGGAGCA